TCCATTTTCTTCCTGTAAAAACATTCGCACCCGAACATTTCTCTCTTGATCTGAACAAGCTCTGCAAAACTGGGAATTCAGATGCTAATTTGCTGCTGATATCCAAACCCGTTGGCATTATTTTGATAAATCCAAAAGTCTATGGAAAGAATTTCAGGGGTCCCTTTATTTTTATAATACGCAGGGACGCATGCAATTAACTTTTTTATTATTTACATTGTTTTGGAAAATAAAATATATCAGTTAGAATCCGAACATGCGTCGTGTTCATGTTTTTTGTGTAACCCCATACCGATGCGGGTAACCCGATCCGGGAAGTCACATTAGGGCCACCGGAGTGACTAGGGCCACCGGAGCAACCCACTGTAAAAATAGCAGAAAATTTAAATTTTTTTATTGAAACGTGTAACTTATAAAATCAGTTGTCACTATTTAAAAATAAAACAGATTTTCACACTCGTATATAAATCAAAATACAATTATATGCCCCCTAATCACATGTACCATACTCTGCAACAACGCCGGAAGAACTCCCTTACTGAAGTCGATAGATGCACTGGTACAATTCTTTTTAACCTGAAAATGTAAGTAATAGAGTTAGCTTTGGAAAGCTCAGTAATACAGAACTACCAGATGATGCTGAAGAACGTGCAGATACAGATAAATATATATTTCCTTATTGTTTCCGAACATTTACAGATTTTTATGATGAGCAGAGATCCTACTGATATTTCAGGTGGTAACGGACAATGAGCTTTCAGTTCAGAGAAATATTTTGGATGACTGAGTTCAGGAGATCAGAATAGGTTATCTAGTGTGTTCCCGTAAAACTAGTGAAAAGATATATATCTTTTAAAACAGTAGCAGTTTAAAACATATTTACCCTGTGCACAAAGCAGAGGAGCATACAAAAATGATAAGGTCTTATACTTGCACATAGTAAGAGTCTGGGGAAACTGTAAGGCTTACCCTTGCACACAGCAAAGGAACCTGGGGGGAACTGTAAGGTTTACCCTTGTACACAGCAAAGGGACTTGGGGGAATTGTAAGGCTTACCCTTGCACACAGCAAAGGGACATGGGGGAATTGTAAGGTTTACCCTTGCACACAGCAAAGGGACATGGGGGAACTGTAAGGCTTACCCTTGCACACAGTAAAAGGACCTGGGGAAACTGTAAGGCTTACCCTTGCACACAACAAAGGGACCTGGGGAAACTGTAACGGTAATTAATCCATATTTAGAAATCATGTACAAAAATACTGTAACCAGAAACCATATCAAAATATGTGGTAAATCAGATATCAAAATAAACTATATTCAGAACATCGGGTATTGTCTCATAAAAATATTCAGTATGTGATTTATCAAGATCATATTTTCCAATAAAAATAAGAAACCCGATAACATATTTCAAGTAAGCATAGTTCATAAAACCAGTAGATTCCATGATGTCATAAATCAAGAATAATTCATATTTTTCGATAAAACCAGTAATCGGAAAACATATAACATGTTGTCATGGTTCATAAACCAGTAAATCAATAGTTTCGGTGAAACTCATTTAAAAAAAACATATAAAATCGTCATGTGGTACATGTGGAACACACTAGGATATCCAAGTATTTCTCAGAGACACTTAGTAGTTATCAGAATGAATAACATGAAACTGATGTAATTTGATCAGATTCTAAAAATGAGGTCCTATTGAAGGGAATCGATTGCTAACCAATCTAATTCGACATTTAAGGTTGATACTTTAGAATTCCGATATGATTCATCTGCATCAGGAAAGTGTTCAGAAATCTTTATACAAAATATGTCGTTTGATCTGATTATCGAACAATTCTTAGATGGATAGTTCCTAGAACTAATGCTTATCGATTGGTCAATTCATTGTTCTTCCAAGATATTTACTCTTTAATACCATAATTTCTAGTCCATATATAATCTTCGGAATCATCGCTAAATAAATCTTTCAATGTCTTTATTTCATGTTCACGCTTTCACTATATCATGAAATGCTGACGTGCTTGATTTGTAATTCATGATCCATAGAACGTTACATCATGTATGTTCATTAACATTTCCAGATTCATCCAAATCACTTATTTAATTCTCATTCATTGAGGTTACTTAATTTATTTAACATTCAAGTCTATTCCAGTTACTTCAGGATTTTTTTAGAGTAATTCAAATGTTCCTGAATTTCAGATACATGTTGTACTTCAGTTCCACTCAATTTGGTTTTCGTGGTTGATTTGTCGAAACAAACATCCAATTCTTAGTACTGAATGCGATCTAGAGTTAAGCTGAGCTGAATACTTCCAAAATTTATCATCGAGCCAAACTTGAGAAGACGAACACATGTTGCAGTAATATCTATGCCATTCAGGTATTGACATAGCTTTAAGGTTGATCTACTCACTTAAATTATTTTCCATTACCTTTAAAGGTAGTCCAATACCTATGCTTTCTTGGATTCTTTAATTAATCCAAGGCATTTACTTAATTTAGACCATAAGGTTATTTTGGTGTTCAGTTTTATTTCATTCATTTCAGAGTTCGAGGATATCCAATCATTCCTGAGCTTAGTGATATTCTTGAGTCATTTCCATTACAGGGGTATTTTGGTCATTTTACATATCTATGGTATTTCAATCTTTTCCTTCTATTTGGTCTTATTATTTAATTTAATCTTATCATTTACTTCAGTCCTTTCGAACAATTCTGACAGTAGAATACCCCCGATAAATTATTCTTTAGATATTTACTCATTACTCGAATATTTTCGGGTCAAGTGCCTTCTCAGATTTTACAAACGAAATATCATGAATTTTTCTGTACAAAGACAGTATTTTAACAATTAAATTCGTACTTAATTGAGTTAAGTACAAATCCTCAAAGTACTTTCTCATTCAGGGTTAACTCAGACTATTTTACCTCTTAAGGGCATTTTCGTAATTTCTTAACCAGATAATTTCAATATTAGCTCTTAACGAAAATATAATTATAATTTAGAGATCTTATGATCAATTGCTTTCCCGAACATTCTCTTATCTTGAAATGATTCCTTAATAAAATTCTAATATCTTGCAACCATCTAGGGTTTAAAAACCGGTTATCCGTATTTCGTAAGCAAAATCTAGCATTTCTTAAGCACATCTGTAGTTTTATCATATCAATATATCCCTTCAGAGTTATTAATCAACTTCCAGGGACAATTATTGACATCTTACAACTTAAGGGTATTTTCATAATTTTACCCTACCGGAGTATTATCATAATTTCCCATCCAAGTACCTTTAATATTTAACCTTTGATGAAATAAACTATAAGTTACAAATCCATGTTGATTTCTTTATCACTAAGCACAAAACTTGTAATTTAATTCTAACAATCCCTCAATTTCTTATAAAAATCATCTAAACCATAATCAATTACTGAACCCTTTTACCGTATTCAGATCGAGTGTAGAAACTAATTAACTACACAAATGAGACCAACATTATCTTAATCATGCATTTATCAATATTCACATGTTCCATAAAGCATAAAGAGATAGTAAAGTATTACCTCAATTTCCGTGCAATACTGATCGACCATAAAAAATTCCATTCGAACGCCTTTGATCTTGAATTCAACTTCCAATAATTCCTCAGATACATATCAACATAAATTATATCAGAAACAGAGCTTAATTGCGATAAACGGATCGAATCGGGTGATAAATCAATGAAAAATAGCTTACCGAGTTTGAATTTGGCAAAACAGACTTCGGATTCGGATTCAGGACGTCGAAAGCATAAAATATATCTTTTCGGAAATTTGGAATTTTTGGTCAAAATCAAAGTCAACGGGTTTGACTACCAAATATCGAGGCCTTCGGGTCCGAATTTCAAAAAACGAACTGCGGAATCGGATTTGGAACGTCGAAAAATGTCAGGATATGTATACTCGGTCAAAGTCAAAGGTCGTTTAATACCCGGTCAAAGCCTGTCAAAGTTTTGGCCAACAGTGGTCAATGGCGGTCAACGGTCAACGGGTCGGGTCGGGTTATGACCGGTCAAACCGGTCAAAACAAGAGCTAAACCGGTCAAACCGGCCATTTTTTTCTTCCCCACGCTCAGTGGCGTCGTGTGAACAGTGCTAAATTCCCGGAAAAATTCCTAAAAATTATTTTAAGCGATTTCTAGATACTTACAAAGCTCGGTTCACAATTTTGAATGGCGGAGAGCTCGATTTCAACGAATCAGAAACTTTGACCGCTTCACCTCCTCACGCGCCGCCGTCGACGGAGACCAAGGATGACACCGGCAGACTCGGAACGATGCAAGGAACACGATGGTGCAGGAGGTGTCGTAAACGGATGACCCGATCGTCGTGAATCGATGAAAAACCAACTAAAATTAAGTTATTACTGACGGTACTTCCGACTGAAATTAACGACGAACGGTGACGATTCACGATGAAAGGTTTGAGGGGTTTTGTTCCTTGGTTGACAACGAACACGATGGTGGTTTCGGCTCGTCGATCGGAGGTCGGACGACGAGTAGATCGGAGTTGAAAGTTGGGTCAACGGAAGAGAAAAACTGGAAAAATAAATTCTTCAGCACGAGAGAGGGTTATAAATTATCTCATAAAGGAAAATGGCTAAATTATGGGTTTAGCCACTAAATTTCCTATACTTCTTAAAAAGGTCTGCAAACTTTAAAATTTTACAATTTAATCCACACTTTCTTCCAAAAATACAAATTAAATTCACCACTTTATAATTTCTTAAATTTAGCCCTTAAATTGGGGTGTTACATTTTGTCTGTTCTTTTATAAAGAGGAGCTACAAACATCAGACACAAGGCGGAGAAAAAACACATGCAAAACTACGTTAGAGAGAACAAACATGCACGAAACAAAACACACAAGAGACGGTTCTTACAAAATGCTTGGAAGGAGAATAATCCAAAATTTTGCTAGATGCTTTGATGCAAACTTGATTGAGATTCCTGTTGAAATCGAGTCTCCAGATCTTCACTACTATCATGTACGGCATACTGATTTCTTCCACCTTCATAGTCCTAATCGTTCTGCTGGCTTCAATTCTGTGCAATAACAAGTCTAATAGAGCATTGATCATGTACAGCTAGCCTTCTTCACAACGCGAGAAGTAGATGCACTTGAAGAGCCGACTTGGGTGAGTTGACGTCTCATCAAGAATGTGAAGAGATGTACTAGAACATTTTTCTTGCGAGACTACTTTCAGATATTCTTTAAACAGTCATGACAAAGTTAATAATGTATATTTTATAAATCAATGCATGATACACACACATACACCTAGTGTGCTTGTATGAGCATCCTCTGACATTGAGTGATGCTATTTTTGTATACCCTGTTTGGGTATACGTGATCGGGAGCAATTATATCTTCATGTGTGGTTTGAGATGAAAACCGAGTATGAACTTATCTGTTTATATTTATTTTTTGCTGTATTAAGCGGCTTTATATTCTGTGAGCAGGATTATGGCCTTGACTTTGATGATCTTGATCATCCTGTTAAGCATTCCAGTGCAGATGCGGCAGTACGTTTTGCAGGGACATGAAACTTCTGCTATTTGTATACCCTGTTTGGGTATACGTGATCGGGAGCAATTATATCTTCATGTGTGGTTTGAGATGAAAACCGAGTATGAACTTATCTGTTTATATTTATTTTTTGCTGTATTAAGCGGCTTTATATTCTGTGAGCAGGATTATGGCCTTGACTTTGATGATCTTGATCATCCTGTTAAGCAATTCCAGTGCAGATGCGGCAGTACGTTTTGCAGGGACATGAAACGTTCAACTAGTAAGTAATTGTCATGTAAAATTTCTTCTCATGGTGAGATAATACGGTTATAAGAAATTTAAATGTTTGACATCGCCGTAAAAAAAGCATAACCCAAACTTCCCAAAATGCAATTTAAACAGGCTATTTAAACACATCCCAAGTCACTTAATTATTAGTTCGGTTACAAATGAGTCATTTTCTCTCTCTAAAAGTTACAATTTAGTCAGTTAAAATATTGTTACAGATAATTCATTTCGTCATTAAAATTCAAATAAACGTTTAATGTACATGATATAATAATAGTTTTACCGATGTCTCCGAATTCAATTTCAGTTTTGTTTCCTTTTCTTTTTCAGTTGGGGTTTCATTATGGGTTCCTGTTATTGGATCCATATTTTCGTTTGTTGTTGTTGTTTTTTCAGAAATAAATTTGCATCTTTGATAAGAAAAAAAGAGTGGGATTGTTCACCTAATGATATTGCTTTAATAATGACTGGATAACTAGCTGTCTTTGTGAGAAAACCGACAGGAGATCAATCAAACTTATATACTATGCTGTAATTAGTCCTATAAATGAACGGAACGCACACGAACGGAGATATATTCATGTTCGTTCATTTAATAAATAAACGAACACGAACATAAACGAGCAAAAGTTTTTTTGTTCATGTTCGTTCATTAAGGAATATAGCTTGTTCATGTTTGTTCATTTAAATGATAAACGAACATAAAAGAACACAAACGAACGAACATAATAAATGAACATAAACGAACACAATAACGAACAACACAAACACAAAAAATAAACTTATTCGAACACAACAAATGAATGTAAAAAAAAGTAAACAACAAGAATAACAACTTAAAACTCATTAATATAACCTGCAACTTTAGAGTTAATTTATTTGAATACGACAAAAATATACAGAAATCATAAAAAAGTTTTTTTGTTCATGTTCGTTCATTAAGGAATATAGCTTGTTCATGTTTGTTCATTTAAATGATAAACGAACATAAAAGAACACAAACGAACGAACATAATAAATGAACATAAACGAACACAATAAACGAACAACACAAACACAAAAAATAAACTTATTTGAACACAACAAATGAATGTAAAAAAAAGTAAACAACAAGAATAACAACTTAAAACTCATTAATATAACCTGCAACTTTAGAGTTAATTTATTTGAATACGACAAAAATATACAGAAATTATAAATAAGATATATGAACATAATAAAATCTTAAAGTTAATTTGTTCAACAAAACAATCTTCTTGAAATCCAAACAACTTCAATAATCTTCGTAACATAGTCAACTTGCCCTCCGTTCGAACATAAATGAATATAAATGAACGAACATAAACGAACGTTCACGAACGTAAATGAACAAACGAGCCCTTTGTTCGTGTTCGTTCATTTAATTAAACGAATGCAAAAACTTGTTCATGTTCGTTCATTTAATAAATAAACGAACTTTCCGCCGCACGGTTCATGAACGGCTCGTTGAACGTTTAATTCATTTACATGCCTAGCTGTAATAAAATAAATTCATAATTAATGTTCATAAATATATATATATTAAAACTATTCTCTTAAAAGACAATATTCGTATATTTCTACGATAGGATTAAAAGGGAAGGAACTGGGAACTCATGGGGTCTGATATTACATCCATTTTCGCTCGTGATTTTATTGTTGTATTATATATATTTTAAATTAATTATGCCAATATAAATATAATATAAATGGTTTTTTATTACAAATGTTAATGTAATCGGTTAAATATGCTCAAAATTAATTATAAATGTAATCTATTTACAAATATCTCTTATTAAACATCTCATGTCATTTTTATTCATGTAAACTATATACGTGGTCACTTAATTAAGAAAAAATTTAATTTAATTATCAATTTTTAATCAAATTATTTAACTATTCAAATGATTTTAATCAATGCATCCATATAAATACTCATTATCAATGCATCATATAAATACTCATTATTTATACATTCTATTAATGTAATAATTAATCCTCCTTAAAACTAAGACCAGATTGGATTAAGGTTACAATTACATATAATACATTTTTATAAAGAATAATCAATACAACACAAATGGAATTACAAATACAACGAATATATATATATATCTAAAACTTAAATTATAATAAATTTAAATAGAGAACCCATAGTATACACGTAAAACTACGAATCATAATACTCAAACCTAAAATCTTTGAGTCGAAGCGAGATATTCAAAAAAAAAAAAAAAAAGCACCAACTGCTATGGCTTAACGTCTATTGGACTCTAACGTACGACTTCCCAACTCACAGTTTGGTACAGAGACTCTCATTTTGCCGTCCTTGTTATGAATACGAAAGGAGTGAAGGCAACCAGTGCTGCCCTCAGTGCAACACTCGCTATAAGCGTCTCAAAGGCCAGTCATTTATTTATAAAATTTTAAGGAGAAAAACAGTAGAAAATATGTATATGTATGTGATATTGTTTTGTCTATGGTTGTTCCGCAGGTAGTCCGAGAATCCCAGGAGACGAGGAAGACGACTCAGGCCAAGATGATTTTGACGATGAATTTCAGATGAAGAACCGCAAGGATGAGTCGGACGGACAACATGTATATAAAACGAAGCCTTTAGTTTTGTCTTGAACCATAATTGTAACTGTAATCTGATGATCAGGTAGGTTAAAATATATGGCTGATTTTGCAGGAAAATGGGGACTATAATAATCAACAATGGCAGCACAATGGTCAAGCTTTCTCAGTTGCAGAAAGCAGTAAGTGTTGAGTACTCGACTCGAGCTTCGGCTTCGATTCGAATAACTTGAATATGAGTATTTAATTTATATTATTAAATTGTGGGTTATGAATGGTGAGCAGTTGCTGGGAAGGATTTAGAAGGCGAGAAAGACATGTACGGAAGCGCAGAATGGAAAGAAAGAGTTGAGAAATGGAAAGTGAAGCAAGAAAAACGAGGTTTGATTAGCAACGATATTGGCGGAAATGATCTTCCTGAAGAAGATGATTACCTGTAAGTTTTCACCTTTTATATATATATATATATCCATTTTAATATTTTATAATGTATATAATTTCTAACTTTTATAATATTAAGATAAATATTGCAAATATATTTAAAGGATTAAATCAAACTACACTCGTAACTATTTGATCCAAATAGTATAATTGATCTTTATATATTTACATATAATTGCTATAATAATCATATATATATATATATATATATATATATATATATATATTTACAGATAATTGATCTTTAAATATATTTCTATTAAATTCCTATTTTATCTAATAAAAAAAGAATTATGTCGAGTTGAGTGTAAAATTTTATCTTAAAAGTCAGATTGAATTCTAGGTTGAGCGAACTTCTCTAATTCTTAGGTCAAGTTGAGTGACAAGTGAAAGAACGTTATACTTGAGGTAGATATTCAAGTAGACTAAAAACTTCGGTTTGACTTGACCCATGACCATCTATAATTGTATAAAATCTATTAGTCTTATATGATAATATGATCATTAGAAGAATTCAAATAGATAGTTGAAATTAAAATAAATTATAATTTTTTTATAACCATTGAAAAAAATAATTATGATAATACATAAAATATTAATCTCAATATATTAATTAAATCATTTCGTCAACCTAATAACTAAAAATTTCTAATCACACAAATAATCTGTTTAGCAGACATACATGTATTTATAAAACATCAAGTTCAAATTATTTGTTTAGTAAATATATATGTATTTATAATTTAGTTTATTTATTTTAGATATATTTAATATTAAATCTGAATTAATAATTAATTTTCAGTTTAACAGAACAACTTAATTGATACAGTATTAATATTTGAAAGATTTAATTATAATTTTTTTATTTTTAGTGACTAATTTAAAATTGAGGCAATAGTTTGAGGGAGTTTTATATAATTAAGCCTTTTGATTTTTAAAAAACTGAAATGTGACAGTTGAGATTCTTTTGCAGCTTGGCTGAAGCTCGACAACCTTTATGGCGGAAAGTCCCAATTTCATCGAGCTTGATAAGCCCTTATCGGATCGTCATCGTCCTCCGCTTCATCGTCCTCGCATTTTTCCTCCGGTTTCGTATTCTAACGCCGGCATACGACGCTTTCCCTTTATGGCTGATCTCCGTTATCTGCGAAGTTTGGTTCGCCTTCTCTTGGATCCTCGATCAGTTCCCGAAATGGTTCCCCATTAGGCGCGAAACTTACCTCGACCGCCTCTCTTTGAGGTTCGAGCGTGAGGGCGAGCCGAATCAACTAGGCGCCGTCGATGTGTTCGTCAGTACCGTCGATCCTCTCAAGGAACCGCCCATCATAACGGCCAACACGGTTCTATCGATCTTGGCCGCTGATTATCCGGTCGAGAAAGTTAGTTGTTATGTGTCCGATGATGGCGCTTCTATGCTTACTTTCGATTCCTTGTCTGAAACGGCTGAGTTCGCGAGGAGATGGGTTCCATTTTGTAAGAAACACAATGTTGAGCCGAGAGCGCCGGAGTTTTATTTCAATGAGAAGATTGATTATTTGAAAGATAAGGTTCATCCTAGTTTTGTTAAAGAACGGAGAGCCATGAAAGTAAGTTGCTAAACTCACTGTGCTTGACTGTGATCGAGTCGAACTCAAATTCGAGCTTAAGTTTCAAGTCGACATTCTGTTTGAGTTCGATACTTGTTTGATTAGGCTCATTTATCTAGCGAAAATTAGTTGGATCAAGTTTTAATTTTAAAACTTGAGGTTAGTTCAAGATAAAGATGAAACTGTTAAATTTCCTTGATTAGACTCGTTTTCCTAGTAAGATTTGAGCTTGATTCTCATGCTCAACTTTAAATTTAATCATTCGTGTTTGAACTCAAACTCATTTTCCTAGTTAACAAGGGTTTAATGTATATATCTTATGTTATTGCAGAGGGAATATGAAGAATATAAAGTAAGGATCAATGCATTGGTAGCAAATGCTCAGAAGAAACCAGAAGAAGGATGGGTGATGCAAGATGGAACCCCATGGCCCGGAAATAACACACGTGATCATCCTGGAATGATTCAGGTAATTTAAAGATTACGATATGTTGATACGGATACGGTCACCGTATAATAAATGACAGATTGTTATACTATATTTTGGCTTAATTCTTTCCTAAATCGCAAGAGTCTTCAATATCAATAATGTATTTCTTTGTTTTCTCAGGTCTTCCTAGGAAGTGCTGGTGCACTCGATGTCGATGGCAAAGAGCTACCTCGGCTTGTTTATGTTTCTCGTGAGAAACGTCCTGGTTATCAGCACCACAAGAAAGCTGGTGCTGAGAATGCTCTGGTGATTATTGATCTTATTGTCTAATGTTCTTTGTTCTGCTGGTTCAGTTATTTATGACATTCTTCTTTATTTTTGTTCGGTTTTTGAAAAATCAAACTACTTCCTATGAATTTTATTTTTATTTCAAAATCAAACCAAACTATTGTTGTTTTATCGTATTCATTTCTGATCTTTGTTTGGGTGATGGATGCCATTACCAGGTTCGAGTTTCTGCGGTGCTTACTAATGCACCCTTCATATTGAATCTGGATTGTGATCATTACATCAACAACAGCAAGGCCTTAAGGGAAGCTATGTGCTTTTTAATGGATCCTCAGTTTGGAAAGAAACTTTGTTACGTTCAGTTTCCACAAAGATTCGATGGTATTGATCGCCACGATCGATATGCCAATCGAAACGTTGTCTTCTTTGATGTAAGGCTTACTTTCCACTCACAATTCTTTTATTTTGATTTTGAAAATTTCATGTCTAAAACTCCATTTTCGGTTTATAGATCAACATGTTGGGATTAGATGGACTTCAAGGCCCTGTATATGTAGGCACAGGGTGTGTTTTCAACAGGCAGGCATTGTACGGCTACGATCCGCCAGTCTCCGAGAAGAGACCGAAGATGACCTGCGACTGCTGGCCTTCATGGTGTTGCTGTTGTTGCGGAGGTTCAAGGAAGAAATCAAAGAAGAAAGGAGAGAAAAAGGGCTTACTCGGAGGTCTTTTATTCTCCAAAAAGAAGAAGAAAATGATGGGGAAACACTACGTGAAAAAAGGGTCTTCCCCGGTCTTTGATCTCGAAGAAATTGAAGAAGGGCTTGAAGGATACGAAGAATTGGAGAAATCGTCATTAATGTCACAGAAGAATTTTGAGAAACGATTTGGACAATCACCGGTTTTCATTGCTTCAACATTGATGGAAAATGGTGGCCTTCCTGAAGGAACTAATAGCCCATCACTTATTAAAGAAGCCATTCATGTAATTAGCTGTGGCTATGAAGAAAAAACTGAGTGGGGCAAAGAGGTGAGAATCGTTACACATTTTAACGATTTGGTATCGAAATTGTTGAATTGACATTATGTTTTCTTTTTTGTTTGGGAGTCAAGTTACGTATTAGCGACCTGTATTTTGCAGATCGGATGGATTTATGGATCGGTGACGGAAGATATTTTAACAGGTTTCAAGATGCACTGTAGAGGGTGGAAATCGGTTTATTGTGTACCGAAACGACCGGCATTTAAAGGGTCGGCTCCAATCAATCTCTCGGATCGGTTGCACCAAGTTTTGAGATGGGCGCTTGGTTCCGTAGAAATTTTCCTTAGTCGTCACTGCCCACTTTGGTACGGTTATGGAGGAAAACTGAAATGGCTCGAGAGGCTTGCTTATATCAACACCATTGTTTATCCTTTCACTTCAATCCCTTTACTTGCCTACTGTACCATTCCAGCCGTTTGTCTCCTCACTGGCAAATTCATCATCCCCACTGTAAGTATTTATGCGGTTTTTCACTCGTCCCCTTCGATCGATCGATCCGTTTTTTATATTAATGTAACCAAACATGTATTGTCTGAGTTTTATTTAATAATTTAATCTTTGACTCCGACCCTGAAAGCATTCACCCGATCCTGTCCCAAAAGTTTACATAACTTTTCTTTCTTCCTAAACTTATATTCTGCAAGGTGATGACAATTTGTGGTTTCTTGGCAGCTGTATTCTGAGTTTTATTTAATAATTTAATCTTTGACTCCGACCCTGAAAGCATTCACCCGATCCTGTCCCAAAAGTTTACATAACTTTTCTTTCTTCCTAAACTTATATTCTGCAAGGTGATGACAATTTGTGGTTTCTTGGCAGCTAAGCAACCTTACAAGTATATGGTTCTTGGCACTTTTCCTTTCCATCATAGCCACGGGAGTCCTCGAACTTCGATGGAGCGGAGTTAGCATCCAAGACTGGTGGCGAAACGAACAATTCTGGGTCATCGGAGGTGTCTCCGCCCATCTTTTCGCCGTGTTCCAAGGCCTCCTCAAAGTCCTCGCCGGGGTCGACACGAACTTCACTGTAACAGCCAAAGCAGCAGAGGATACAGAATTCGGCGAGCTTTATCTCTTCAAATGGACCACTCTCTTAATCCCTCCCACAACCCTGATAATAATGAACATGGTCGGTGTCGTCGCCGGAGTTTCAGATGCAATCAACAATGGCTACGGTTCATGGGGTCCGTTGTTCGGCAAATTGTTCTTCGCTTTCTGGGTCATTCTTCATCTTTACCCTTTCCTCAAAGGTTTGATGGGAAGACAAAACAGGACGCCCACCATTGTTGTGCTCTGGTCCGTACTGTTGGCATCCATTTTCTCACTGGTTTGGGTACGGATCGATCCTTTCTTGCCCAAACAAACCGGTCCGGTCCTTAAACAATGTGGCGTGGAGTGCTGAACCGTGTTAATAATTTTTCTTCTTACTATTATTATGTTCCTATTTTGCCCTGTATGCCACTATTGATTTGCTGTGATTCTGCATATCTTCTGAGATGTTTCCTAAAGGGATCTATGTTGTTTATATAAAGTCTCCAATGAATGATTTTGTTGGTAATACAAGAAAAAAATGTCATTATTGGTTTAGTCCGGTTCAAATGATTTTTAAATAATAATAAATATTTTATTTAGATTGATTATAAAATATATAGATTTAAACATTTTTATATAATAATATATGATAAAGGTAAATTATAGGTATAAATTAAGGACTCGTATTTAGTTGAAAGCTGAAAGGAGATTATTCAATTTTGATTCTAATTGGATCTAGTTAAGTGGATGAATTTAATTTTTACATTTAAATTGATATATTTTTTTCTTAAATTTATACTTAAATTTAACTTTGTGATTCAAATTGAAGATTATAAATTTTAACTAATTTGAACCAATAATCTAAATTCAGATGTTTAATTAGACCAAAAATAAATTTATGTACATGATTAAACAAAAATATCGAACAATTATATAATCATAGGTTTGGTTGGAGGACTTTCTTTATTCTAATTTGAATAAGGACTTCAAGATTTTCCCTCTTCAAAAGAATGATGGAGTTGTTATAGTTGCTCCATCCAAAAGGTTTTCATTGTTGTTGATTAAGTATGGAAGAAATTATGGACGATGAAGGAGTTTTAGTTGTTTGAGATTTAGATGAAATAATGAAAAATGATGACTGTGGAAAAATTGTGAAATTCTCGAGTATAATGAGTATTTTAGATAATAATTGTGTAAGTAAAAGGAGACCAATGACAATCGATATAGAAGTTATTTTAAAAAAAAATTATAAGAAGACTTAAACCTATCATATAAGTTTTTTTAATGGTGGAGGTGATTGTAATGAGAGTGAATTAAAAATTTAATGACTTTATTGTAAGTTTTAAAAGATTAGTGTTCAAAATGAAGACAACTTAAATGTTTAAAGACCATTTAACGTAGTTTACCATTTTTATTAAAACAATCGAGACTTCCAACTTCCCCAATGAAGTTGAATGGCCATCCATCGTAAACTTTCTAAGCATTTTAATGGCTGACAAATGAAAGAGAAAGAAAGGAATCAATCATGAACGGAGTTGATCGAAAGCGCCGTCGTATAGCGATGACTCTGACGGCGGTTCTAATCCTGGGAATTTTAGAACTCGGCGAAGGAGAGCTGAAAGGAGATTATTCAAAGATATCGGGGATAATAATCCCAGGATTCGCTTCAACTCAGCTGAGAGCTTGGTCCATTCTCGACTGCCCTTACTCTCCCCTCGATTTCAATCCTCTCGACCTGGTTTGGCTCGACACTACAAAAGTAAGGATCCCCTGCTTTTGGGCTCTTGTCGTCGTTTTACTGATTCTTTTGTCTTTTAGTAAATTTCTCTTTTTGCCTTTTGGATTATACAGTTTTTTCTGTTGTTCTGTGTGTGTATTTACCCCCCCCCCCAATGTTTCTGTTTTGCTCATATTCTGTCTGTTGTCTGTTTGTTAGACCCATTTGTGTGATATTTTTGAAATTGAAACAAAGAAAAAAGTTAGAAAAATTAAAAGTTTGGTTGATTTATAGAGAGAGCATAATCAAATAATGCTCTTTCACGTTCATTATATGTATATAAATGGTCAATCACGAGTTAGTTTGGTAATCTGACAATTTGATTTTTGGAAATATTTTTTTAGTAATGAATGATGAACTTGTTTTAAATTATAGGCTCTCATGAAGTTGCTTTTCAGCCCCGCTTGTTTAACTTTATTTGGTTTCTTTTCTCTTGTTTTCATTTTTAATTTATTTTGTATTGCTAGGGACTTTAAGATGTATTATAGGTTCTAAGAAGTTGAATTTGACGTTTTTCTTTAAAGCCTATGTATGCATGTTTTTCCCTTTGCTGATAGGGTTGATTTTTTTCTTCTTTTTGAAGATTATAGATGGAAATAGAATATTGATATATAAGTTCATGGATTATCAATGATTTTTGCTCCTTACTATGGTTATCAACATACTTAATATTGACACCCTTTTTATCAAAATAATGCAATCATTTCTCTTATCACTAGACTGAAAATGAAGAAAGAAAACAAAAAAAGTTGACTATCAGGAATGTGTGAAGAAATCAGGACCATCGTCAATATCATTATTCATAAGTTTTGATGCTTCCTCTAGGCCATTAGTACTCCATACCCACTTTGAACAAATTTCCTCTAATATTCTGTTGTTACCTAGTAACCCCCCTACCTAGGCATTTAGTATAGGTATGCAATGTTCCTTGGTATACAATTGAAACGGATACACTCAACTTTTTTCTGAGTTCTTTTTCACATATAGGTTGTATGGGTGGTTTGTTGTTTTATTATACTAAGATTGTCACACTTCCGTTCACCAAGAAAAAGAAAAGGAAAGATTGTGACGCTTCTTTTAACTGCAGCTCCTCTCAGCTGTAAATTGTTGGCTTAAGTGTATGATACTTGATCCTTACAACCAAACTGATCACCCAGAATGCAAGTCACGCCCTGATAGTGGTCTTTCTGCTATTACAGAACTTGATCCAGGTTACATTACAGGTATTGTTCTCCTTTTCTTTGTTTTGTTCTTATTTACATTTGATTCAAAAACATATATCAAGTGTCTGCATTCTGCAAGATGCTTCATGTTTAACCTTTTTTTTTATAACAGGCCCTCTTTCTTCAGTGTGGAAAGAATGGGTTAAGTGGTGCATTGAATTTGGTATTGAGGCTAATGCAATCATAGCTGTCCCATATGATTGGAGATTGTCTCCATCAATGCTTGAGGAGCGTGACCTTTATTTTCACAAGTTAAAGTATGTATATTTTCTGGTTCATTCTGTTTTTACTACCTCTGATGCATGTAGCCTAGTAAAATTTTGTTTTATTTATTTATTTTCAGTGACTAACCTTTTGGTGCATCATCAATAGATTCTTCCAAACTAAAAGTAAATATGTCTATTCCTCATGGAAGTTCTGTGTCCGACAAGATTTTGCTTGATATTTTCTTTTCATTTTTTTTTCAATGAATGTAACTCTTTGTTTTAAACTCCTCATGAAGCCTCTTTTTGACTAACTTTATAAATCACGCTACTTTTATGGTCTGTGGTCAGAAAGTTGATTTTGATGTGAATTTCTTTTATATTAATAGTGTATAATTTAGTTATAGTTACTTTTTGTTTAAATCCTAGTCTGACAGAAAATTTTTGACTCAAAATGCTTATATGCGAGGCACAAATATATGTTAGATCGTGCTCTTGAATTAATAATTTTTCTACGCACTCAAAAATAAGAATCCAATTCCACATTTCCCTTGACTTCGACCCCAGAGTCATACATTGGACTGAGATGCTACTTTGACTCTTTAACTACAGGATGAGTTGAAAGCGCTGGATTTTAGACTTACTTAAGTTGAATTTTCAGGATGTCCTGTTGATGGTAAACTAAACTAAGCTAATTGTAACTTATATTTTTTATTGGTGATTGTGCAAATATATTGCAATCTTGTGACAATTGTGTTGGCCCATGTAAATCAGTGCTGCTGCTTCTGATCGCAGGCTGACGTTTGAAACTGCTTATAAACTTCGTGGGGGGCCATCAATTGTGTTTGCCCATTCATTGGGTAATAATGTCTTCCGCTACTTTTTGGAGTGGTTAAAGCTAGAAATTGCACCAAAACAGTACATCCAATGGTTGGATGATCACATATATGCTTATTTTGCTGTGGGTATGATCCTTTGCATCAAATCCTTTACACAAGATTGTTTTCCTGGAATAGTCTTGTCTGACCTTTCTGGGTCTCATTATCTTCTTTTTTTAACCTAGGAGCTCCTCTTCTTGGTTCAACTGAGACAGTCAAAGCGCTACTTTCTGGAAACACATTTGGCCTTCCTGTTTCTGAGGTTATTTTTCTACTTTTTTCTCAAAAACCACTGCTTCCTGCATGAACTTTTTAAACAGTTTTTTTTACATGCTCAAGTGGAAAACAGCTTACCCTGTTATGGTTCCTTTTCAATTAGACAATTCATAAACGGGCATGCATACCTAATACTATTTTTTTTAATAGCATATAGAATACTAATGGAATATGGAAACATGTCACAACGATATATAAAACTTTAATACAATAGAACTAGAGCAATGAAGCAGGTCACAACTACTTTTTGGAAACTAGTCCCCTTTAAAAGCTATCCATAAGGAAATAGCATATGACGATTAAACTTATGGTAGGACCTTGTAAGAAATAAATCTGCAGTCACATTCAATGAAAGGTATAGGCAGATTTTGTGGAAACAAATGTCTACTTCTTAATAGATTTCCAATGAGATATATGCTTTCGAAACCTTAAAACTACCTGAATGATTTCCTATGATCCCATGAAACAGGTCTGGTAATGCAATATGGAAAACTTTATACAATAAAACTAGATCAAATTCAAGATGTTAAAAACATCTATGCCTAACAGCTAAGTTATTGATGTTCAATACTGCATATGTAAGAACAGCAAATTGGACATGGAATTCCTTGATTTCTTTTCAAGTCAGTATGTCCTCAATTTTATATGATTCATCTTGAATGATGTAAGAACAGCAAATTGGACATGGAATTCCTTGATTTCTTTTCAAGTCAGTATGTCCTCAATTTTATATGATTCATCTTGAATGAACCAAATTAAATTGCAGCACTTGGATGAAATATATATAAATCTACTGCTGTTACTTACTTTCATTGGCTTGAAAATGTGAGGATTAATAGTGTTTGTTATATTATCATGCATATTTTAACATCTGTTTTCTTTATATTTTGGCAAGGTATCAGGGAACAGCTCGATTGATGTTCAATTCATTCGGTTCGTCACTATGGATGATGCCATTTTCAAAGTACTGTAGGGCAGATGCCATGTATATGAAGCATTTTTCTGGAGGAACCAGGCAGGGTCATCAGACGTATCAATGTGAGGAAAAGGAATTTCAGTCAAACTACTCTGGTTTTTCAACTAATATAATCAACATTGAAATTCCTTCAACCCGCGGTATGGTTTTGGAATCAGTTTTTCTTTTATTTATTTAAATTGTGACATGTAGGTAACTACTATGATGCTCACAGCAGTGTCTTCTATTAACAGGGATTGATGCCTATCCATCAGTTTCAGAGTTTGCCCAGACCAACCTTTCTAGCATGGAATGTGGACTCCCAACACAGTTGTCATTTTTCAGCCCGCGAAATAGCAGATGGTACCTTTTTCAAAGCTATAGAGGATTATGATTCAGATAGCAAGAGGACCTTGCACCAACTGAAGAAGTGGGTATTCACAGAAAGTTTATGCCATTTGAGAAAATTATGATTACCTTTTCTAGGTCATTATTGGCTGATAGACATGATTGATTCTAAAAATGATGTTTATCAACTTTTTTGTCAGTGGTGGACATTCATAACGTCCTTTCAGCATAAATTACTTAAATGGCATCTAATGTATCATGCACGCAGTCCTATCGTTATTGAGAGTATTGAGCTGCATTTTTGCTTTAAAAAAGTACGTGGAGCTGCAGAAAAGGTTTTTAGGCATGGGTCTATTACATAATTGGGTTTTTATACTATATGTGAATAGTCATTTACCAAGTTTTATTTTCCGATTCATGTATACTTGGGACTTTCTGTCGTAGACGCTTCCCAAATATTTTTTACAATCTATCATAGTTTTAAATATATAATAGTTTTCAAGCGATGATACTTTCAAACAATTTAACAATCTATCATATCTTCTTGATGTTTGCCAATTTTGACATGATAAACGAAGTGCTTTCACTGTCAGGAGTCATGAATTACATGTACTAATTAATATTATATGGAGATGCAGAAAAAGTAGTTCTTCATGGAACTGTCACAGAAGCACGCTTGCCAGTTATCATAACTTAATAATGTTAAATGGACTGACATTCATCCATTCCTATCTGCTTGCCAAATGTTTTCTTCCAGAATCTGTGGTTGATTTCCTTGTTTTCTGCTACTTGAGAAGCTGAAATTTCCATTTTTAATTGATACTTTCATCTATTTGTTTTAATAATAGTTGTCCTGGAAGTTTAATTAATACAAACAAATAATGTAATTTCTACTTTATTTTGACTATTTGTTTCAATGCTGTATCATTCAGGTCATATCATGATGATCCTGTCCTGAATCCTCTTACACCTTGGGATAGACCACCTATTAAGAATGTTTTCTGTATCTATGGAGTAGATTCAAGGACCGAGGTATGATTAAATTTTGAATATAAATTCTAATTATCTTGTTCATTGTTTAGCCCATTGTTATGGCATTAGGAACTTCTTAAATGCTGTTTGATTGATAACCTCGACAAAAATGGAAAAACTCTATAGTTGTTATATATCATGGTTTCTTTTTTATTACATATTGTGGTTAGTTTTAATGATAATGTCATATTGAATGATAATGCAAGCAGGTTGGTTATTATTTTGCACCAAGTGGAAAACCTTACCCTGATAACTGGATAATTACTGATATCATATATGAAGTTGAAGGATCATTGCTCTCGCGGTAAGCACTGTACACTGTGGACCATCTAATCTGTTCAACAGCATATATGCATAAATAATATCTCTTGCCCTTTATTTAGTATTAAACAGCTCTAACAGTAATTACTTTTTATTGTAAATGAAATAAAGTAGTAATAATTATTGACGAATGTTTTGACCCCTTTAGATTTAACTTTTAACTAGCATAGGACTTATTGTTGTAGGTCGGGGAATCAGGTTGAAGGAAATCCAGGAGCTACAAGCGGAGATGAGACAGTAAGCTCTTTGCTACTAGATTACAGATGCTGATCTGCAGTTTATAGTTAAGGTCTATCACTCGCATAATGTACCCGTAATTGTGGCAGGTTCCATATCATTCCTTAACTTGGTGCAAGAACTGGCTTGGGCCCAGAGTGAACATAACAAGAGCTCCGCAGGTATACCTGGTCAATTTAGTAAATCTTGTGGATGAAAGCACATTCATATTTTTATGATGATTTGAAAAGCTTTCAATCTTCTGGATATTCAACGCTTCATATGTATCCGATTGGAAGTTTTCTGTGGTTAGTTTGATGAGCTATCTGAGCTGAGCTATAGAACATTGTTTATTGAATGTTTCTCTCAAACCATTTATATAATAAAAAAGGTATTTATTTGTGTACTGAATAGGTGAAACATGTGATGCATTATCCATCTGATATAATGAGTGTGTTTGCTAGGTTTTAATATTCTATATCCTAAATATGACATAATTATTGAGAGTTTGAAATAGTAAACTTTCTCTTGCATATTGCAGTCAGAGCATGATGGATCAGATGTACAAGTAGAGTTGAATGTTGAGCATCATAATGAAGATATAGTCCCCAATATGACAAGGTCACCTAGAGTCAAATACATAACTTATTATGAAGACTCGGAAAGCATTCCAGGAAAGAGGACAGCAGTTTGGGAGCTTGATAAAGGTGGGTGACATTACCTTTATAATGCTTTTCTCTATAAATGGCTTTCATAGAAGTATGATTTCAGATTATGTTGAACTGAATTTCCTTGCTACTATTCATTTTAAGAATATTAAATAGCCCAGCATTATGGTTCTTGTGGTTATGGCCCGACATCCGATTGGGGATCTTATCGAAAGTGGTTCTCTCTGGTTTTGGAAAAAAAAATTCTTTTTATTTCCAGCATAATCTATAAGTATCGGAGTTATGATAACCAGGGAACACCTATTGTGCATTCCTGCTAAACAACAATCAAAATAAATATTTAAAAGCTCGTCTTCCATTCACGGTTTAGCTACTTAGCTTGTTTACTTTGTATTCCCCATTTCTCTATGCCGAGGAGCGTTATTTTGACCCTTTTTTAGTTAGTTGCACTCTTCCTATTTTTCTACCATTTCTTTTACAAGAAAATTGAGTTAACAATGTTAATATTCTTTGACTTCCACTTTGCCACTACGAGTGGGTTAAACTGATATCATCTTCCTGTAGCAAATCACAGGAACATAGTTAGATCACCGGCTCTAATGCGAGAGTTATGGCTCCAAATTTGGCATGATATCCATGTTGATGCACCATCCAATTTTGTTACAAAAGGTAAAACATTGTGTATTGTTTTACTTCTTTTCTCGAAGGTTAAATTGAGTTTTACTCATAATAATGCTGATAGCTAAGCGAGGGCCCTTACGGGATGACGACTGCTACTGGGATTATGGAAAAGCTCGGTGTGCATGGCCTGAATACTGTGAATACAGGTTCCATATTTTATTTTATATCCGGCTTTTCCTCTTACCAATTAATGTTATAAGATTTTCATTACCTGTTGTATGGTGATGTAGATATGTCTTCGGGGATGTCCATTTGGGACAGAGCTGTAGGTTAAGGAATTCTTCGGCCGATACGCTTCGGCATTATATATAGAATAGAAGGTAAGCTAACCACTTGTTTATTGTCCATCCTGCAATATGAACTGATTCGTTGCTTCAGTTCTACAAAGTTTACTACTAATGCTCTCCTATATTGCTATAGTTCCCACTTTGACAGTACTAATTATTTTCTGACCTGCTTTGAATCGGTCACCTTTACTGATATACTTTGCCTTTGGCCCAAATTTACATGCTTCCTGTTGAGGAATTCGGGTCCACAGTTTGATAAATTCGATAATATTACTGTAATAGATGTTTTAGAGTTGCCATACTAAAGTTATCACATTATTATTACATGGTGGTTTTTCCGAGTCGTCTTTCTTCTTAAAGCATTTGTGTCTAACAGATATTCTGACATTAAGTACATGAATAGGATCCTCCCGGACCCTCCAAATACATGGAAAAACTTAACAAAAGTCAAATTTTCTGACACATACACCCGAATCCGAGTAACATAGATATGGATATGGATATGTTGTGTGAAAAATCTTTATCTAGATATCATCGCTTCTTATATTTCTCAAAAAAAAAACTAGAATGTTAAAGTACATAGAAATTTGAGAAGGGATGGCCTTCATCATGCATCACTTGCTCTGTTGAACCTCATCTTTTAATTTCTCTACTTCAGACGTCACCAGGGATTACAAGCAAATCAAAGGAGCTCTGTCTCGAGTAAGGTTGTTTTTCCGGTTGGCAACCCGACATTCTTTCGTATGCCATGCAGAGTTATTCCTTGGCTCCCTCGTCTCATTACAGGGTAACATTGATACCACGTAGTTACGTTTGCGATCGATATGACATAGTTAGCCCAATTCTTTGCTGGTAGCATCTTATATTATAGCCAAGGCTGAAATTGGAGCAAACCATTATTTAGTTAGTATTGCTCTAGATTTAGATTCCAACGGAAGACTTAAGAATTCTTATAAAGCAGAGGATGGTGTCATCCTTGAACTGTGATTCATATTTATAAGAATTGAACATCGGTAGACTTGTATTGAGAATTTGAAAATCTTGTAAAAGATGCTTGATTCATATTTATACATTGACAGCAACCTCATTTCTATGGGATAAAATTGGTCTAAATCTTGTCTATTAGATTAACACTTTTGTGATGATATACACAAAAGTTCTTTATTGGTATTACCAATAAGTAATGTTTTCCAGATTTTGGTATTGTGAATTGAGCAAGATTAACTTGGGACGGTTTTCATAATCAATCTTTGTAGTACTTAATTTAGATTAATTGATAATATATTAAATAGGGTAAACTACTCCAATGGTCACTAATGTTTTGGCAAGTTTTCGTTTTCACCATTGATGTTTCAAAAGTTACAAATCGGTCACTAACATTATCGTTTGTTACAAATTGGTCACTCGTCTTTAACAGGCGTGACGGAAAACACACGTGGCCTGTTAACAGCAGTTAACAGGTTAACAGGCTTACCTGGATGGTATAATTACACATGTTATTTATATATTCTTTCAATTTGATCTTAATTGTAATAAATTAAAATATATTTATTTTTAATTCTTATAAATAATGATATATTTTCAAAAAATGAAATCAAAAGTTAAAAATTAGTTATAAAAAAATAAACGTTTTTCTAATGTTGGGGTAAACTAATAAAAACAAAAAAATAACGTTTTTTAATAAAATTAAAAAAATTTCCCAAACTTTTTTTTTAATTTTTAAATAAATACTAATATTTAAATCTTGTTTGTGAAGAAATTTTTTTCACTCGGTACATAAAATTTCTTAAAATTAATTTTATTAAGTCTTTCATTTTATGAACAATCTTATAATTTAATTTGTCATTAATTTTTTTAATTAAATTTTATCACAAACATAAATTGTAAATTTAATTATTATTATTATTATTGATATGATGAAAAATTAATAAGCACATAGCTCGTGAAATTATTTAGGGAATGGACCGAAATGCATCCGAAGTAACTCGTGATGATATCATCAGTAAATATTCCGAGAGCTTTGTAGATTAGGTAACTAATGGATATTTTCTTCTTCCGATAATCGTCAAGTTGAACTAGTTCATTATAGATTCGTGATAGAGTTCATTTCAACCACAAGGAAAAAAATAAATTGAATCCATCCGAATGATAGATTCGAGATAATAAAAATAAATCGGCCGAAGGTCTGGCTTCTGCCCGAGGACAAACAAATTTTCAACTCGTGTTATATCCGATGATACGACCGCATTTGCTTTAATCACGATGAATTCATTAGGTGGTGTAAATTGGTGTCTATAGCTAATTCATTTTGGAGCTCCGATTGCCTCTATCTGCAAAAAGCCATAAGGATTTCGATTTCTAATGCTTGTAAATATTTCATAAATAGATTTATGTTGTCTTATTGAGAGCCCTTAACATAATTGGTATTCTTGTATTTCCTCGTGCTTCCGATATAGCATCTTTTGGGAATACATAATGTGCATTCACAAATTTATCATTCATGTTATGGAATTTTGTCTGGTATATTATTATTAGCTTGAATATTGGAATAATTTCTCATCACGTTATTTTTTATCATAATATATTATATTATTGTTTTTATATCACAACTAAATAGGATCAATTAAATAAATTTTCGATTTAGACAGGAAACAACCCTAAATCTAAAAAATGAAAATCTCGTCAAATTTCAAAATTCAAAGCAGCCAAACTAAAGAGAATTGAGGACTAATTACCAGACATCAACAGAAAATAAAGAACGAGAAAGAGAATTTACAGTGATTTTTTTTAACTTCATATGGTTTTTTTAGATTTAGGGATACAAAATTATTATTAAAAGATTTATGTTGTGGTAAAATTTAATTTAAAAGATTTAATGACAAATTAAATTATAAGACTGTTCATAAAATGAAAGACTTAATAAAATTAATTTTAAAAAATTTTATGCACCGATTAAACTTTTTTTCTTCATAAACAAGATTTTAATATTAGTATTTATTTAAAAAAGTTTGGGGAAGAAAAAATATTAATTTTATTAAAAAAAACTTTTGTTTTGTTTTTATAACTAATTTTAAATTTTTGATTTTTTTTTAAAAATATATCATTATTTATAAGAATTAAAAATAAATATATTTTAATTTATTAAAACTAGTATCAAATTGAAATAATATATAAATAACATGGATAATTTGTGTAATTATACTATCCAGGTAAGCCTGTTAACTGCTGTTAACAGACCAGGTGTGTTTTCCGTCACGCCTGTTAACGGCGAGTGATCAATTTGTAACAAACAATAACGTTAGTGACCAATTTGTAACTTTTGAAACATCAGTGGTAAAAACAAAAATTTACCCAAACATTAGTAACCATTAGAATAGTTTACCATATTAAATACTAATATTTGCATCAAAATTATTATTAACAAATTAAATGAGTAAAATTGGATTAGAAAGATTGTTTTCGTAATAGATAATGTATTTCACCCGATTTGATTGAACCGATAGCCACAACTATGAACATATGGCAAGGCGAGTAACATGCTACGGCCCAGTTGTCGCCGCCATCAGAATCCACAAACACAAAAACAAACAAATAATGTCCCTCCGTCGGTTCTTTGCGTCCTCGGCCCGAGCACACACAGTTTCACGTGCTCGTCACCTCAACTGTTCAGCTTCCTTTGGCTTTTACATACTCTATTAATTAATACTGATATTAAACACACGCGTATACATGTAAATAGAACTAATTTTATAACAAGATATGAAAATTTTAAGAGTTAATTATATACTAAACATTCTCGATTTACTTTAATTACTATCATGTTTTACGTTATCTGAAATTTAAAATTTAAAATTTAAAACAGATCGACATTTGATTGTTTTGGATATTTGTTCATTCATTCTGGTACATGATTTTATAAGTATCGAGTGACACTTGAAGCCACCTGCCCTGCCCCATTTACTTGTGTAAGCCATTAACGCCAATTAGCCATGCATGCATTCTGTATAATGTCGAAACAACCCTCACCTTCACATCTATAAATACCCCCATCCCCTCCACTCTCATCTTCACAAGAACACCATAGAATTAGATCAATAAGTGTGCATTCTCTGCTCTTCAATGGCTGCCTAGCTATGGCTGACCATTCCTAGCGGCAGTCACAATTCCAGAATGAGTGTCAAATCAATAGGCTCAACTCTATTGAACCTATCACCCGAATCCGATCCGAAGCTGGCACCATTGAGTGGTGGAACCCTAAACCCTAAACCCTAACAAACCAATAGCTCAGGTGTGTCGGCATCTCTATAGTCAGGCACAACGTCAAGCCTAATGGCCTTGTTTTGCCTTCCTTTACCAATGCCCCTCAACTTGTTTACATTGTCCAAGGTATATTATATTCAAACTACAAACTTAAACACCGTCGCTAAAACTAAGATAATCCATCACTAATGTTTTGAAATTTGTTTTCAGGAAGGGGTATTCAGGGCACTGTAATGCCTTGTTTGGTAAATGTTTTTTTGAAAATGATTTTCAAAGTTTGGTAAATGTTTCTTTGAAAAATAGTTTTTCAAAGTATGATAGATGTTTGTTGAAAAATGATAATGGGATAATCACAATTAATCCCTAGACTTTAGGGTATTTACAAGATTAAGTCCTTAAGCTTCAACTATAAATACCCTAGCTCATTTAGCTTCAAAATCATCCCAAAAATCATTTCTTTCTCCCAATACTAGAGAGCTTTCTTGTGAGTAGTGAGTGTATTGTAAACACCTGTAAATTTTTTCTCTTAGTAAAAGATCTGCAGCAGTCCGGAGACGTAGGCACAATTGGCTGAACTCCGTTATCAATTTCAGGTATTATTTTCTCCGCTTTTATTTCGCATTCTCACTAATCTGGTTATAGGGAAATTACTTGTACTCAGGTTTATTTCCCAACAACTGGTAATCAGAGCTTTTGGTTGTGAATTTTGTCAATTTTGTGTGAGGTTACTATTTATTACTATTCACATGAATAGTGAATTTCGTAAATAGTAAACATTTTATCGGCGATACGAGTTTGTTGATGGAGGTGTTATAATACACGATGGTTCGCACAAATTGTCAGAAACGATCCAAAGAAGCCAGATTCGAGTGGGAGCGATGACTGCAGACGAAGGGAATGTGAAAATTGAAAAGTTCGATGGTGCGGACTTTGGCTTTTGGAAGATGCAGATTGAAGATTTTCTGTACCAGAAAAATCTATATCAACCTCTCTCAAGAAAGCAACCTGAGGGCATGAAGAATGAAGACTGTGCTCTTCTCGACAAACAAGCCCTCGGAGTTATCCGACTGACATTGTCCCGCAATGTTGCTTTCAACATAGCAAAGGAAAAGACCACGGCGGGTCTTATAGCGGCTCTCTCCAGTATGTATGAGAAGCCATCAGCCTCAAACAAAGTTCACTTGATGAGGCGATTATTCAATTTGCGGATGGCAGAAGGGGCATCAGTGGCTCAACACCTGAATGAACTCAACACAATCACAACCCAGTTGAGTTCCGTGGAAATTGAATTCGATGATGAAGTTCGAGCTTTAATTCTCTTATCATCTCTACCAGATAGTTGGAATGCTACTGTTACAGCAGTCAGCAGCTCGTCGGGAAACAACAAATTAAAATTTGACAATGTTCAGGATCTGGTACTGAGCGAAGAAATTCGACGGAAAGAATCGGGTGAATCATCAACCTCCTCAGCCTTGCACACGGAGTCCAGAGGGAACAATTCAGAAAGAAATTCAAATCGTGGCAGATCCAAATCCAGAAGGGGAAAATCAAGAACGGGAAAGAAGGATTTTACCTGTTATAACTGCGGCAAGAAGGGTCACTTTAAAAGAGATTGTCGAGCACCAAAGAAAAATACCGGCGCACAGGAATCTGCCAACGTGACAGAGGAGACAGGTGATGCCATGATTCTAAGCGTCAACAGTCCAATTGAATCATGGATCTTGGATTCAAGGGCATCTTTCCACTCCACCCCA